CTGAAAAATTAATAGTCTTCCAAAAAAGAAAGTATCACACCAAGATAATATTAATTCTACCAAATATTTAAGGAATAAATGAAATGATACCACTTTATCACAATCTCTTCCAAAAAACAGAAGTTGAGTGCATACTTTTTGCCAGTAGTACCCTAACACCAACCAGATGAGGACTTTACAATAAAGGGAAATTACAGACCAATTTCTCTCATGAACTTACATGTAAAAACTCTCAGCAAATTATTAACAGATCAAATATTTCAATGTAAAAAGTAAATTATGTCATGCCCAAGTGGGATTTATTCCAGGTATGGAAATCTAGCTCAAACTTTAAAAACTAGATGAGAATGGGAAGGGGGTGATGTAAACATTTTTAAAGATGTATTACACACATATACCAACTATTTATGATAAAGAAACTAAAGAATGTACTCCATCACAACAGCAGGCTAAAGGAAAAAACTGTATCATCATATCAACGAATACAGAAAAAGCATTTAACAAAACCTAACATAATTATTATAAAAGCTCTCAGCAAATTAGAACTAGAAAGAAAATTTCCTAAATTTGATAAAGAATATCTATAAAAATCCTGCAATTATCATTCTACTTAATGAGAAATTAGATACTATCTTATCTAGATCTGGATATCTACATGTAAAAAAAATGAAGTTAGACATAGACCTTACTCTTATCACAAAAATTAATCTACAATGGGTCACAGACCTAACTGTATGTTATAGCTTATACATTGCCAACTTGAGAAGTCCAAAAGCTAAGCTAAGCTAAATAATTCAGCAGTTCTATATCCTGGGGTGTAAAGAACAAACAGTTACCATTTTAGGATATTGTTCATTGTGTCAAATTGAGAAGGTCTGAACTTTAACCTTAAAGTGATTCAGCACCAGCCAGGGTCCCTAGTTTGTAACGTCTTCAGCCTGTGCAGGAGGAGGGCAGGCAGGTGGTGTGAGTGCTACACCCAACCCAGAGGAGCAGCCTGCACACAACAAAAGGCAAATGAGGAGGTACCAGATCGCTGCTTATTCAGAGGAGCTCTTCACCTTTAACTTGGACTTGACTCCTGGCTTCTGGCACAGACTGTTTGGGTTTTGCCTGGGACTCTTCAGCCTTCCATCATAGACCTCCTGATACTGCCTTGCACGGGACACTGCAGTAAGCTCCAGCCCTTGGGCTGGACTCTTCAGCCTCTAGGGTGCAGACACCCTCTGCATGCCCCCTTATTCAACTTTGTGGCTGACCATTGTAAGCCAATCTTGTAATTTCTTATACAGTTGTATATCTTGTGTTATATCTGTTTCTCTAGTAAACCTGTAAAATATAAACCTATTTAACTTCTAGAATATAAGAAAAAACTCTAGGTAATCTTGATTTTGGCAATGAATTTCTAAATACCAAAATTATGATACACAAAGGAAAAATTAGTAAGCTAGACTTCATTAAATTTTTAAATTCCTGCTCTGGGAAGTTGCCATTAAGAAAATGAAAGATACTCTGAAAAGTGGAAGAAAATCTTTCCGAAACACATATCTAATAAAGAGCTGTTACATAAAATATTCAACCCTTAAAATGCAACAATAAGACAAACAATTGAATTAGTATATGAGGAAAAATTTGGAACAGACACCCCACCAATGAAGATACTCGGTTGGCAAATAAGCTTATGAAAGGATGCTCAATATCATGTCAGTGGGGAATTGTAAATTAAAACAAGACACCATTGCAAAGCAATTTAAAGGGTTAAAATCCAGAAAAACAAAATGCCTGTAAGATGTTGGCATGCATGGGGAAGAAGTCCCTCAGTCTCCCTCCTTCCCTCTCTTACACACACACACACTCACGCGCACACGCGTGCACACACACACACACAGCTAGTGGAAAAGCAAAATGGTACCGCCACTTTGGAAGAGTTTGGTAGTTCCTTACAAAGCTAGACATTGTTTTAACATATGATCAAAAGTCATGTTCCTATTTAATGAAAAATTTATGTGCAGATGAAAACCTGCACACTGATGTTTATAGTATTTTATTGATAATCATCCAAAGTGGTGTCCTTCAGTGGGTCTATTAGTTTTTTAGGGCCGAGGTACCATAGTCTCAGTGAAGGTGAACCTTTCAGAGCTTTCGGTGATAACAAACAGATCACTGCAGGACACTTGCCAATAGGTTCACCACCCCTAGGCTAGGTGAACCATGATTTATGGCACAATTTAAAACACAATGTCTCTTAACTTTAGCTCACATCCAACTGACTGCATTGAACAAGTTGAAACTTGTCATGTGCTCGGGTTCCATGTGCCACTTCTCCTATTGAAGATCTCACCTATCGCTCGACAGCAGTACTCACGGGTATCTTTTTTATTTATTTATTTATTTATTTATTTTTTAAAAGCCAGTCAAATTTAGCAGTGGGGGTGGTGGTGGTGGTATACCAACTTTAGTGATGCTAATGTTAATAAGGTCTGATAACCCACTGCCATCGGACCAGCCTCATGGCTATCTTTTTTAATCACACCCCATACATCATATCTCACATTTATCAAAATCTATTAAAGTATATAAAACAAAGAACAAGCTCTAATATAAGTTGTGGACCTCAGTTAATGATATGTTAATACTGGCACACCAATTATTTTAAAATGTACCACAGGAATACAATGTTAATAAGAGGATCATCATTCTTGAGGGGTGGGAAGAGCTGAATATTGGAACTCTGTATTGTCTGGCTACATGTTTTCAAACTGTTGAAAGCATCTATTAATTTTTTAAAAATCCAATGCTAAGCTGGCACACACCTATAATACCAGCTACTTGGGAAGCTGAAGCAGGAGGATGGCAAGTTTGTGGCAACATGAGTAACTTAGCAAGACCCTCTGATTAAAAAATAGAAAGGACTGGGGATATAGTTCAGCAGTGAAATGTCCTTGCGTTTGAGCCCCAGTACTACCAAAAAAAAAAAAAAAAAAACCCGATGCAAAAGATACTAAAGACCAAGTATTTCCTCTTGAAGGTGTTCTTTTGCTCTCTCACTGCTCCTAATTTGGGATGAGGACCCTCTCGTAATACTCTGCACATAAGATTCATTCTGTGGCTATATCTACACAGCATATTTTAGCATCTTTGTGTGACTGTCAGTTACAGTTTCTATCTTCCCAGAACATCCAGATGGTGAAAGGAGCTAACACATGTGACTTTAGTAGGCACCTGGAGAGGCCCAAGGGGCGCTCCTTTCACTCAATGCATCAATGATGCAACTTGCCTAACCACTGAGCCCTCTGACCCACAAGGCTATTTTCTAGATGGGGACATAAGACAGAGTCATATTAAAATTTACTGCAATCTGAGGCAGACTCTGGATTACTGGTCTTCAATCTCTCAAAGACATGTCTAGGGGAGTTTTGGACTAGGAAACCTCTCCAGTGATTTTAATTAAAATTCTGCTTTTTATATTACACAATACACTCCTTGAACTTGCTCAAATTAAAAGGTGGTGTAATATTCACTTTAGACCATATGGCATCGTTCATGGCTCAGGGACACAAATGTCAGTACCACAGATAACATAAACGATAAGGCAGACTAAGAAAGGATCTGACAGTTTGGAAAGCTCCTGCCCAAGCAAGAGCAGAAGTCACTTGTTGGCCTCAGCCAGTTATTGCCATAAATAAGGGAGAGAGGCAGCTTTCTGTCCCCAGAAAAATCTGGTTTTTAACTGTGGCAATTAACTCAAGGTGTTTAGAATATTAGAATGGTACACTGGGAGTAAAAAGCCATACAAATGAACTAGTGTATTTATGACATGGGAAAAATAGCAGCGTGAGGGTTAAGGAGGCTTCTGGAAAAACCTTGATTTTTACTCAGAGCTACTGAATTTGAAGGATCATCAAAAGATTTAAGCAAGGTGACCCAACTAGCATGACATTTAAAAAGATCATTTAGCGGTCGGTGGGGGCGGGGTTGGGGGTTGACAGCTGAGTGGTGAATTAGAAGTTTACAGTTAGGCAGGGGTAAAGGAGAGATGACGAAGGCCTACTTCACACTTTCTCCTACCACGTAGTACACTCTGCACGAGCAGGGCTTCTTCCTATCTTGCTCTGTGTCTCCAGCACTAAACCGCAAGCTTACTCATTATCTGTAGAAAAAATGAAACACTGTGAAGGCGTGACGGTTCAGACAATTTGAAGGGCTGGGTTTAAGAGCCAACTGCCAGGAGAGTACACTGTTGGTAATGGTGCAGGCAATCATGGGACTCGGAAGCCCTGGAAGCCTGTTTCCTTCCCCGAGACTTCCCATACAGCTTTGGGGGGGGGGGGAGTAATTGTCAAATAAAGACATAAAATACACAGGTTTTTTTTTTTTTTTTTAATCTTTGCTGTGTTGGATTCCTACGATATGTGGCTCCTTAAGTCATTTAGTGATGATGAACCTCTTAAAGCTTTCAATGAAAACAAACAGGCCGCTGTGGCATGCGTGCCATGGGTTCGCTACCATTGAAGGGCAATCCTAAAGGCTCAGAAAGACTGAAAAGGATTGGGTGAAAATGTAAGGATGAACCATTTCTGGACTGCAAATGGGACTGACTTTACCCTCCAACCACGTTAAGCTTACTTTCAGGTTGGAGCAGGGACCTAAGACCCTCGGGATTTCTGGCCCTGGCGCGTTCCCAACCTAGCTAGCGGACAATTCTTACGCTAAAATCTCCCAGTCCTCTTGGCCTCCACACACACACATTTTTTTTGACTACCACCCAGCTCCGCCCTTTCCCTTCCACCACCTCTTCTAGTTCCCCCGCCCTACTTCCTTCCCCTCCTCCCTCTCCTCCCCCCCCCCCCTCCTAGCTCCCGCGCTGCAGCCCTCCCCCGCACGCTGCAGCCTGGTCCTCCGCTCCTCTTCTCCTTCCCTGCGGTCATTGCTCCTCCTGGGCGGTTCAGACAACCCCGTGCTTCGCTTGTCCAATGAGGAGACGGCATAGGGCGGGGCGGGACTTGGGCCAGAGCGGAAGCGGTGGCCGGAGCGGAAGTGGAGCTGTCGCCGCCACCGCCGCCACCGATTCCGTAGCCGGAGTAGCTGCCACTGCTGGCGCCGCTGCAGCTGCCGCCACCGCTGCCTTTTGAGGAGTGGGCTTGGGAAGGAAGCGATCACCGCTCTCAGCTTTGTCGGAAGCGCCTTTGCCCCCTACCGTCCTCCCACGGTGAGTGCGGCGCCAGGCCGGCCCGCGGCCCCCAGGGGCGCAAGCTCGGAGCCCTTCAAGGGCGGCGGCCACGACATCTGCCCTGTGGGTGGGTCCTGGTTGTACCCGTGCGCCCCCACCTTGGCCCCGCGCGGCCCGCTGGTAGCGCGGGCCCGGCCTTACTGCAGCCCCTCCCTGTTTCCGGGGCTGGGCCCTCCGCCTCCTGGAAGCCCTGGCCTCCCTGGCCGCCTGCGGCCCTGCCCCGCGGGCGGGGTGCGGCCCCGAAGTGCGCTGGGAGGGACTGGCGGGCCACCGGTGGACCGCGGACGCTTCCTTCACTACCCAGTTTCGTCTCCCAGGAGGCCCCTTCCCCGCGCCCTGGTCAGCGAGGACTGGCCCTTTGGGTCCTGTCACCTCTGCTGTTTGTCTTCTGGTTTCCGGAAATTGAGATAAAACTAAAGGCGTGCGAATTCTGAAGCACAGATGCTCCCATTGCATTCTCCCTGGATGAGTAAGGAGTTTAATCTTGGGAGACAGCGGGGAGAGGGTCTCCCCCGTCCACTTTTCAGTAAAGCCATTTTATCACCCTTTACTGGTTTTGAAGCCTGCTAAGACTCTAAATTCCCTGGAAGGGCAGAGTTGAGGTTTGAATCAAGAGATGAATTTGTTATAACCGGTTACTGAGTCAGGCTGGATCTCGAGGGGAAAGATATCTGAGGCTGAGAACCGCAATATTGTTTCATGGTGTTTACCGTCATTTAATAACGGAACCTTTTGTGTCCTTACCCAAAATTTCCCCCATAGACATTTTTTTCCGTGTGAAATTTGCTTGGCAGCCTCTCTGGTGGTGAGGAAGGTACATCTTTGTCTATTGCAAATGGAGAACTTGCGTGTAATGGGATTTTCAAGGGTGGCAACCTTGGTAAGACAGTTTGCCACCCTTTCTGGAAAAATGTGTGTTTCTAGTCCTTGCTCTCAGTGCAGCTTTTCTGGGGTAAGGCCAGATAGCATCACGCTCTGACTTTACTTGCCTTGTGTGGGAGATGGAATTTGGCAGATGATGTTATGAAAATAGAGAATCAGCAGGCCACAACAGCCAAAAGAGAAAGGTGAAGCTTACAAGAATATAAAAATTGTCTGCACTTTTAATTGTTCATATGTAACCACACACATAGCAGTTCATAAAGCAAACAGATAGGTTACTCAGCTTTTTGTATTTTCCTGTTAGACATTTGCACTGTATGTATCAGTATTACTTGGTTTCTAGTGAATTTCTTTTTGATTGCTTTCAGTGCACGTCATTTTTTACCCATGTGCTTAGCCCTCGTTTTCTTGGATCCATATGTTTAGCAGCGCATAGTGTGGTATGTGTAAAACCTATTGGTTTTACTGCACCCAAGTTAAAATTTTAAGCAAGGCCTTCAAAATGGAAGACTAAAAATGCAAGAGGAATTTGCAGAATTATTTTCCTAGCCTCTGCCTGAGGTAAGAAACCATTCACCCATCTTACAGATGAAAATCTTTATGAGAAATGAGGTGATTTGACCTAAACCACACACCTAGTTTCACACTGAATATCCTCTTTCATCTGTATGAAGTATTTATGGACTGTCAGCCCCTGGAGCATGGCTCCTACCCTATAATCTTCTGTAAACTCCTCATCCGGCAGTGCTTGTGTTATATTGAAGCCATTTTAGATTTGGAGCTCTTATAGATCAGACCGGCAGCGTCTAAAAATCAGGATAAACAAATTCCCTTGATACCAGTTCCCTAGGCAGAATCTCCAGAGATTTTGGCTGCTGTGAAAAGTGCATTTTCCCCCATTTGGCTGTCAATTCAGGAACTGAGCACTGATTTGGAGGTAGCTAAATTTGATTCTTGACTGCAGTATTAGCTAGTTAAGTGATCTTTAGCATGTTAATTCCTAGCTCTTAGTTACTCAGTCTCCAGTTATCATGAGGTCTTTTTGTAAAGGTAAGATACTGAACATAAGCTTTGATTGGGAGGGGACCCTTTTTGAAACAGGATCTCCCTATATAGTTCAGCCTGGCCTTGAGCTCATTTTGTAACCCAGACTGGTCTCAAATTTGCAATGATCCTCCTGCCTCAGCCTTCCAAGTGCTGGGATTACAGCTTTGCGCCGGATTTTGATTTTGTTTTTTAACCAAAATTGACTTCTTTTTTCCTAGGTTACATTCTGGTAAGAGTCAGCCTTGCTTTTTGTAGATATGTTGCTTTGAAAAATTGATGTATTATAAAATTTTTATTTTCCATATAGCGAATTCAGTCTTTTATGAGAGATTTTCTTATCTCTACAGTGCTAATGATAATGCACTGTTACGTGTTGTGATAAGTTCAGTTAACATAAACATCTGGGATACAGACTTTTTAAAAAAAACAAAATCATGTGATGGCACATGCCTGTAATCACAGCACTCGGGAGGCTGAGGCAGAAGGATCCTTGGAAGTTCGACACCAACCTGGGCTACAAAGTGAGTTCAAGGCCAATCTGAGCTGCATAGCAAGACCTTGTTGTGAAAAGAACAAAAAACAAAAAAAAAACTAAATCAATTTATTTTTGTGGTACTGGGGATTAAACCCCAACACCCTATCTCTAAACTGCATCCAAGCCTCTGATTTTTTTTACTGATTCATAAAAACATGACAATTATACATATTACTAAGTAACATTAAACATTTCTCTTTCTTTTTTGTGGTCCTGGGGCTTGTATCCAGGGCCTTTTGTACTAAGCTACCTCCCTAGACCATTTTAATTTTCATATTTTATTTTGATACAAGGTTTTGCCAAGTTGCCCAGGCTGAATTCGAATTTGTGGTTCTCCTGTGCTAGCCTCCCAGAGGTTGGAATTATAAGATTGTGTTGCTATGCCTGGCATATTTTTGTGAGGGTTTTTTAATTTTGTTTTTTTCTTTGATGATACAGGGTCTCACTATGTATAAAAAAAGGCTGGCTTTGCACCTGTGATCCTCCTGCCTTAGCCTCCCAGGCAGGCATGTGTAACTGGGCACGTAAATAGAGTATTAAGTCAGATTAGACTACATTTACCTGCCTAGGTGTTATTTCTTTGTGGTGAAAGTTCCAAGTTCTAGCTTTCTGTGATACAGAACACATAATTGTTATCTGTGGTCACTCTACAGTGCAGAATACCTCTCCCCAGAACATCTGACTCATCAAATTTAGTATCGATGTTTCTGTAACAGATTTTTAGTAGATATTTTTTTACTGTATGCATGTATGCACACATATTTTGATTAGGCATAGCTTATGTGCTATATAGCATAGAAAAATCTGTAGAATTCTTTTGTGATTTGTTTATCAATTGATGAAGTAACATCAGAACAGCCAGTGAGAGCTAAGTACTAGTAAGATCATTTTACATACAAGGAAACTGAGTCCCAGAGAAGAGTGATTTTCCCAAGGACACAAAAACAGATCAAGGTAAGTGCTAGAATCAAGAACCATAACTGGGTAGTCTAGCTCTAAGAAATTAAAGATTTCTGCTTGTGATAAAACCATTGATCCCTAACTTTTCTTTACATGTATCCTACTGAAGTAAATGTACTTAAATTTTAGCTAATTTTTTTTTTTTTTTTTTTTTTTTTTGGTACCAGGGATCAAACTCATGACCCAGCACTTGCCAGGCAGGTGGCTTGTGCCGCTGAGCTAAATCCCCAGCTGCTAGCTAATATTTTAGATAGGTAGAATGTTTGTAGGGAAAGATTGGGTCCCTTATGGCCTCTGGGGACTGTTCTGTTGGTTGTTACCAGGAAGCAAGCTGTGAAAAATCTGATTTTTCTAGTACTTGCTTCATCCTAGGAATAAAGTTCAGTAGTTATTTTGTGACGCACAACGCTAGATGATTTATCTAATAGAGTTTGGTCATTATAGAGCCAGATGTGGTAGCGCATACCTGTAATCTCAACATTTGGGAGGCTGAGGCAGGCAGATTGTTGCAAGTTCGAGACCAGTCTGGGCTCATTTTGAGCCCAAAACCAGCCTCAACTTCATAATGAGACCCTGTCTCAAAAAGACCAAAAAACAAATTTTTTTGGTCATTATTATCATTGTTATTTATCATAAAATTTACGTAGATTTCTCTGTATTTTGCGGGGGAGAAGATGAGGGAATAAGTTAAGAGAAATTCTAAATTATTACATCTTGTCATGCTGCCTATTCTTTCAGAGGTATCAAACATATAAGGCTATGTTGGAGAATGAACCAAAATTCCATTGTAAAGAGACTTTTAAGTTCCTTGATTTTTAAATTTTTCTAGGAAGAGATGACAATTCACACTATTTGGAGGAGAAAATTATGGTTGTATACAACAACTTTAAACATAGACCTAACTTGATCTCTACATGAATGTGGTCTCGGTGATGTCATGATGGAGAAACAGTTGAAGTTGGAATTCAAGGAAATTTTTTTGAAGGAGAATGTTTAAGGAGGCTCTTTCATAATGTATGCTAAAAGCCAATCATATTACTTTCTGTACCAAAATATCTTCTCAGAGAAGTAGTTAAGTCTTTCTAATACTTGTGAGGTGAAAATAAGTAATAGCTTCATAAAAGTGAGTTACTCCAGGAGATTGTACATTATTTGACTTTCTTTTAAAAGAATTCTGGCTGATTCTTTAACTTTTTCCTTTCCTGGTTGTTTATTTCATTTTTTTTTCTAAGAGACTCAACAAGAGTTATTTCTAAATGGCCTTCACCAGGACAAACACATTGAAGGCAAAAATAGCTATGAGCCCCATCCCTTATTACTGTTTGCCCTTAGAGATAGCCTTACCTTAAAGCTTTTTGACAGTTTAATTAGTTTTTTTTGTATATACTGTAACTTCTCTGTAATAATTTTGCATGATTCTTCAAGAAAATTGACAATTCTAACTTTTCCGCGAGGAAGCCTTGGGAATTATAACTGATCTTGAGGAGGACTGTGTGACATTGAGGAAGGAAGGTTTCACATCTGTATGACCCCAAGCATGTCATCTCTCTAAAAG